TTCTTTTTTTTTTTGGAAATATAATCATGATTAAAAACTAAATAACAAAATGCTAAGCCTCTCTTTTTTGCTAAGTTATGATGCTAAAGTCTAATTGACAAGTTATAATGATAGAAAGCTAAACCACCAAAAAAGAAATAGAATCTAAAAGCAATAGAAGACCTAGATTTGTTAGTTTACTAGTCAGTAGTAGCGTGCAGTAACAGAAGTATAAAATAAGAGTACTAACTTGAGAAATTACTTGGTTCAGTTTTTTGTCACTACTTGTTGGATTTGATGGAAATCCAAAAGCTCAACAAAACATGAAAAGAAAATATTAAATACTATGTTAGCTCCCCATAATTGGAATCTTGTTAACTAGCAACAGAAACTAGCAAGTCAAGAACCTGAAAATCTTTTTAAACTTCTTTCAGATTCTGGGTGATATGTACCAATAAACAATATCCTGGGGGCGCACTAGAAAAATTAATGTGGAGAACACTGTCAAGAATTTAGTCAATTTAATGGAGCACAATAGTATTGGTTTTTCATCTATTTAGGAGAGCTGCTTGGATGGGATTCTGTAATGAGAAGATTATTAAAGGATTCGGGGATCCGAAGAGAGCCCTTGACTTCAAGCAAATTTTTGCAGGGATGTCTGACTAGTGTTTCCTTTTATTATTTGTCCTCCTAAATTCTAGTTGTTTCCGTTAACAGGAGGAGAAACATATGAGGATTTCGTGTGGTCTTGGATAAAAAAAAGGCTGTGAAGATACATCTTGTTAAGTGGCCAAGAAAATGTGTCTCTAAGGAAAAGCAGCCTGACCTTAGGAATCTAATATTCAAAAACCATGCTCTTGGGCTATGCCGCTTTCCTTTGGAATTTGGTTTATTATGGTCTCAGGTGGTGAGGAGCAAGTCTTGGTTACAGTAGAAGGTCCATAAGATGCTTTTGAAAAGGGCTATATTTTCTGGATTATGAGTCTTTGGTTGGATAGACCTGAAGAATCTAAAGAGAAGATCTCAATCATTTGATATATTTGGGAGAGAATGGTGTTGTTTTGGTTTCTCTTTAGCAAAAGCTCATATTCCTTTAGAAGTACTTTATTCACACTACAAAGGATTGGCTCTCTGTCTTGTATCCATACTGCTTTTATGTTATAGTCTATAACAAAATAACAGTGGTTGAGTATTTTCATTAGGATATTCACATAAGGGAATACTTTATGCACTACGGTTTATTGTTTTCCTTAGATGTGGTGTTTGTTATTCAGTTATGAGGAGTTACCTTTTTTTAGAAATGAAGTTATGAGAAGTTACCTACTTGGGGTAGTTTTATGTCCTTGTGATGATGTGTATATTTATAATAAGTTCATGAAGAAACAGGACAACTAGCCAAATTTTAAAGGAAGTTCTTCAAAAGTTTTGTTGCACTTAATTACTTAAGGAGGTCGTTGGCTTCTTCCCTAAGGAGTCTATACTTTTCTAACCAGAATAATTCAGAAAAAGAAAAGATTGCAGAAACATTCTGAGGCAACTTCCCCTAATTGAAGTAACCAACTCCTACATCTAAGGAAAACAAAAAACTGCCATTAATAACGATAATAAACAGATCATAAAAGGATGACATCTATTGAATTGTGTGGATTAAAGGAGATCACTGTAACTATGTGCATATGGTATTCTGAGGCAAAACTAACCAGGAATCTGAATGATTGGGGGTTGGAGAGCTACTTGAGTTTCTTGAAACTTTGTCTCGGGTGACAGTCGCTGGGGACTTGGAGGATGAACTCGTCTGGTGTTTATCATCAAAAGGCTGTTTCTCAGTCAAGCCTTATTATCAATACCCATCTAAGAATGAAGATCAACTCATCAAGTTCTCCTCTAAGCTGGTCTGGAAAGTGAAGGCCACTCCCAGAATGGTGTTTTTTGCTTGCGAAGTGGTTTGGGGGCAGATGTGACCCTCGATAGGGTGACTAAAAGGAACAAGATCCCGGTAAATGGCTGTTATTTGTGCAAGAATGATGTGGAGACCTGCAATCATTACCCCCCATGGTACCCGTACCTCTATCACCTTTAGCTTATGCTGTCTGGTTTATTGGGTGTGAGATTACTATCAGGGAAGAGTTGTGGGCATGGAAAGGATTCCAGAGCAATAAGAAGTCCCTCAGGCTTATCCCGCTTGCTATCATTGAGGTCATTTGAAAGGAAATCAATAGGAACTTTTGAGAGTGTTGAGTCTAATCTTGATAGATTAAAGATACTTTAGTTCTAGGTTTTAAAGTTTTTTATTAGAAGTCAACCTTTACACTGTAGTAAAGATCTTGGGGACTTTATTGATATTTTGTTAGACTTGTAAAGAATTTTGTACAAGGGTTAAAACTCCTTGGTGCTTTGTAAATATATAGGATTTTTTCTTATAAAAGAAATAAGCAGATCATAAAATGTTCACACATCAGCAGGCTTTCAGTTACTGCCATGTGTGAATATCCTAAACATCCTCTCAACTATTACTTTGTTTTATAGACCATAACAGGGCCAACATATACAGCAAGAAAGCTATGATATACACATCTCCTTTAGATGTTTCCCCCCCAGCAATGGAGAAGACACAAACTGTCACATCCAACGTGCTACACTAGATTCCCATTCCAAATATGGACTACGCATGCAAAATGTAGAAAATAATAGTTTCTTCATGAAAAAAAAAAAGTCACTCACTGAGAGATGTAAAACTTCACAAAGCCTTGCTATCTCTGGTTTCAAAAGTAAATGGAGACTCTTCTGAGATTTACGCAAATGTCTTCGTTCACGACTTTCCACTAACATGCTGCCTGGTCTTTTTGAGATGTCATTAGCCGAACAGCTCAAGTTAGAAACACAGTTTCCTCGTCTTGTATCATTAATAGAAGACACTTGTTGAGATACAGCATGTGCTGCAGATTCCAGAGTTCCTGCAGGAATAACAGATTCTTTCAATTGGAACAACTCCTTCCTATGAATATTCTGAGCCCACCAATAAAAAAGGAATCCCTAGTATAATGGATGATGGTTAACAAAAAACAAGACCAACAATTGTTTCAGAAACTTACTCTCCTTGTCAACCTCGTTGACCATTGCTCCCTCTTGAAGTCCAGGTCCCGTAGAGAGTGGATCAGCACTGTTACTGACCATCTTCTTACGCTTTTTGACAGCATC